AAGGTGTGAATCGACAGGTGCTGTGGAGACCGGAATATGGCGGCTATCAGATTGAGGCCACACCGGGACAGCCATATGGACACAATAACGAAGGAAATGGCGATTATTTTATGCATAATCTGTTTAACACAGTAGAGGAAAATATGAAACTACGGCGCCGGGAGATGTATGAACTGCTCGACGAGGATGAGGCGCTTATTTGTATGACAAATTATCCCAGGTGAGCTCACAATTACTGGTATAAGTAACGTCTATTGAATAGTATTAATCAAAACGATCACTCAATTGATCACCAGATTAGGCAACGAAGACATAAGTGTCCCCTTCTATAGAGCCGATCCCCTGAACAGCACAACCGGCAGTATATTCGCGTCGGACGAACTCACATATACAGGTCATCCCCGGTATATAAAGACGAGTGAGAATATTTTTGAGCGCAGGGGTCGTAAAACAGTGGCCAATGTTCCCATTTTTAAAGATACCAAAACTCCCGACCCTTTCATTGAGATATTCAATGATAAGGAGTCGAGTAGAGCGGCGAAAGTGGATCACATTTATTTGGACGCCGGCGTGTTTGGGATGGGTATGTGTTGTCTACAGGTATGCTATCGTAGAATCGTTGTTTAAATATTTAATACATTCAAATTTTATCAAGTAGCAATTCAATTATTCTTTTAATAGTCATTAATATTGATGTTTAGTTGTATAGTAGTACTGTATAAGTTTGTAATGTTCATTTTAAATGTGTTTAGGTTACACTTCAGGCTACAAATGTTAATGAAGCCATGGTGTTGAATGACCAGTTGGCACCGTTAGCACCCATTATGATGGTATTGAGTGCCGCTACACCTATTTTCCGGGGATATTTATCGGACAGGGATTGTCGGTGGGAAGCCTTATCAAATATAATGGACGACCGGACACTTGAAGAGTCGGGAGAAAAACCACTTAAACATAATAAATACAGAATTCATAAATCACGATACGCTCCCATTAATACATATTTGTGTGAATCTAATGCTAAATATAACGATAATCCTATTGTGTATAACAAGGAGTATTACGATGAGATGATTA